ACAGCCGCCGCCTCTCTTGCAGCCCAAGCAGCTCTTCTGGAACAGCGACTGCACGCGGCGCTGCCGCTGCTTCCGCCGCAACCTGATCCAGTGCGACCCGCGCCAGTGCAAGTCGGGCGAGGAGTGCGCGCTGCGCCACGGCGTGCGGGGCTGCTTCAGCACGCGCACCTCCTACTGCCTGGCGGCCGGCGGCGGCGTCTTCCGCACCTTCGACGGCGCCTTCCTGCGCTTCCCCGCCAACTGCGCCTTCGTGCTCTCCACCATCTGCCAGAAGCTGCCCGACATCTCCTTCCAGCTCATCATCAACTTCGACAAGTGGTCGGCGCCCAACCTCACCGTCATCTCGCCCGTCTACTTCTACATCAACGAGGAGCAGATCCTCATCAGCGACCGCAACACTGTCAAGGTGACGCGGGCGGGGCGGCTGCCCGGGGCCGGGGCGGGGTCGTGGGTCGTTGCCTCCCGGGCGCCACTCGCGGGGAACCAGGTGCCAGGAGTAAAGTGCAGAGGTCCCGCAGGGCGAGACCGGCCCGGCCGAGGCCTTCGCGGGCGGCTCCAGACGCCTGGGCGAGCCCGTCGGCCCTCGCTCTCCGTCGGCTTCCAACAGCATCTCACTTGGTTTCACGAGCCTTTAAAATTATTCTTGGCGCTGCCCACCTGCACCAAGACGTGCTCTTTCATCTCTGCCATCTTTTCCAGAAGCTGAGAGAAGGCAAGCAGTTGCCTAAAAACACAGGTATCTGAATAAAAACCTGAAGGAGGCTGCCCTGCTACTGGAGGGCCCATGACGGCGCCACCTGCAGGAAAGCACAGGCTGAATGTGCTGAATTTCTCACAGGTTAACTCTTCCCTGGGACAGCTGCCTGCTTTCTTGTGGATCTTAGACATGTGTATAAATAAATACATGGATGGCCTCCCCACCCTCCCCTAAGGAGCATGCCTCCCTGACTCAGGTTCCTGCACCTCCTCCCCATGAGAAGGGACTCTGCTGATGAGCTGCTGGCAGTGACTCCCAGCCTCTCAATTAAACCAGGCCGCTCACCGCAGGGAGACCTGAAGGATGGAGTCAAACCTCAGCGCTCTGATTACAGCTAGGGAGGGACAGATAGACCAGGACATATGCGTGAACATTTTTTGGAGGAATTGAGTGTTTTTGTGTATATCTGCTTTCCATCATTAGCTTACGTAATTGAGCGTATCTTTATTTTAACAATCATCAAATAGCTTGGTATCCAGAGTTAGGCAAAAGACTGGCTGTATTTTACAAGCTTAAAAGGAAGAGTTTGAACTATATTGGCTTTTAACTGCAGTGAAAGCTTCTACTGTTTTTTGACATCCCAATTCCTTTTGCAAATTGGCCCACATGGACACAACTGCATTGGTTCAGAATCCAGGAGCTAGAAAGGGAAAGTGACCACCTAACAGCAAAACTGACCTTGTTGTGGAATAAAATACCCCGAGGTAACAAAATAGTAAAGAATCATATTTTTTAAAAGGCTTCTGATTTTTTAAGAAATAAAATTTACTAATAACCTGCAGGTGGAAAAAAAGTATTTTGTAAGTATAAGAAAAGCATGGTATGTCCTGTCCTAGGGACTAAGAAGAAACTGTTAGAAAGCAGGAAAATGAATGCAGAAAGCACTGTGCCTCTCAGCTCTCTGGTGTGGACCTCCTGCTGGAGCATTAACAGCAAGAAAACAATAAAGATAGCAGGAATCCTCAGATTCATTTTAACCATGTTAGACACTCCTCAGTACAGGATTGATTTCATTTTCAGTAATTGGTTTATGCTTGGGAAAGTTTTATACAAAAACCCAGCCATTTGCTGTGGGTCATATTTTTCTAATGTTTTCTTACCTCTCTGCCTTCATATTTTGCTTCCTTAGGGGGAACAGTAAGATGAGTGAGTGTCCTTGAACTCTGCAGCAGGGGTCAGCAAACTACAGGATTTAGCCAAATTTACTTGCTTCCTGTTTTTGTAAATAAAACTTTATTGGAACACAGCCTCAGTGACATTTTGTCTATGGGCTGCTTTCCTGCCAAGAGGTTAGAATTGAGTAGCAATAGAGATCATAAAATATTAACTCTGGCCCTTTACAGTAAACATTTGCCAACCTCTGCTCTAAGGGTCATCTACTTTTACTTTCTTCAATAGGTGAATGGCACACAAGTGAATGTCCCATTTATAACTGGGTTGGCAACCAAAATCTACAGCAGTGAGGGGTTCCTGGTGATTGACACCAGCCCTGACATCCAGATATACTACAATGGCTTCAATGTCATAAAAATCAGCATCAGTGAGAGGCTGCAGAACAAAGTGTGTGGCCTCTGTGGCAACTTCAATGGAGACTTAACTGATGACTATGTGACCTTGCGGGGAAAGCCAGTGGTGAGCAGTGTGGTGCTGGCCCAGAGCTGGAAAACCAACGGCATGCAAAAGAGGTGAGAATTTAGCCACTAGGCTCATGGCCCAAATCCTCCCACTTCCGTGGGTGGTGTTCATAAAAAATGCATTTTCCATAACATTATTTTCCTCTCCTGCAAAGAGCTGAGCCAAAAGTCTATGGAGTTTTCATGATACAAAGAGACATATCAGAGGCCTCAGTAATTTCTTGAATGGTAGAGGAAGAAACTGGGCTTAGGTGGTATAACTCTAAATTTTCATGCCATTCAGCCCTCAGCTAAACAGCCGAGTCTGCACAGGCTTCAAATTCTGAAGCCTTCCCCAGCTGCCCAGCTGGGCCCTGAGTCCCTGTTGGGGTGGGATTCAGAGTTGACTCAGGAGAAAAAGGGCTACCCCTTGCCCCCCAGGGCTGGGTCCCATTGTGTGTTTGTGACTTTTACTAGGCTTGGTTGTGGTTGTGCAGGTAGAAGTTGGTGGGAGTAAAAAAAAATCCTTTTTAAATATAGAAGTCATCAAGGTTATTGTCAGGCCCTAACTGTCCAACTTAGATAGAATGAGCTATAAAAAGTTATTTCATATGTGTTTAATTTAGGACCCTTCTGGGCTGCTAAATTATAGTCCCACCTTTCCGGATCTACAGATACTCTTCTCTTACCCAACATTATTTTGTCTGTACAATGGCTCGACCCCCTTGTGCTTTAACGTGCCAAACATCAGCTAAATATCCAGATGTGGAAATGAAGCTTCAAACCCTTTTTGACCCTTCTGCAGGTAAACTGAAATAGACAATCCTTTTAATTATGGGGTTCAGAGCTGGAAAGAACCTTGGGCAATATCTTGTCCAGTCTCTTTCTTTTCTGGCTGAAATGGAGACCAGAGCAGAACGATTTACATGAGGACGCCCTATAAGAGCCGGGTCAGATTCCAGAATTCCTAATTTCATGCTCTCTCTAAAATATCACTTTTTCAGCTCACAGTTAGAAACTGACAGCTTTGGACATTTAAGCTATTCCGAGGCTTCCAAAGATGAGCAAGGTTCAGCTCCTCCTGAGGAATTATGACTCTGTTTGAGCTTCCTTTGCCTTCCTTCTTTTATAAATGCTTTCAGCCTGACATCAGTCTTCTTGTGAAGGCTTTGCTCCTGCTCTCTAATAGCTAAACTGGAACTGGTTTAGAAGCTTCTGTACTTTCTTCCAAATCTTTAATTCTACCCACTGCCATTACTATTATAGTAGTTATTGTTATTTGTTATATCAATACTTGCTTATGGTTATTGTATCAATTATATCAGTCAATTATATCAAAGGTTAATAATTGTTATGTCAATATTTACCTTTTGTCTGACACTTGGCTACCAATTCATTATTTTATTTTATGCTCACTTTTCACAGTGATATTAACAATTGAAATTACCTAACTTTTCTAAGGTCTCATAGCCAATTAGTGTTGGAGTCAGTGTAGTGCATTGACTTCTTGGTTAGCAAAAGAGGTAACAGACATAGCCTTCCCTTTCACGGGCGATCTCAGATGCCTGTCTTTGCGTCACCTGGTCTGACCCGACTTCTTGCCCCCAGCTGCAACGAGCTGCAGTTCTCCCAGTACGCGGCCCTATGTGATAATGTTCACATCCAGAAGATGCAGGGCGACGGCTACTGCCTGAAGCTCACGGACATGAAGGGCTTCTTCCAGCCCTGCTACGGGCTGCTTGACCCCCTGCCCTTCTATGAGTCCTGTTACCTGGACGGCTGCTATAACCACAAGAAGTTCCAGCTGTGCGGCTCCCTGGCCGCCTACGGAGAGTCCTGCCGTTCCTTTGGGATCCTCAGCACTGAGTGGATTGAGAAGGAGAATTGCTGTAAGAGAATTATTTTATTTCTGCAGATTATTTTCTAAGTTAAAATAACAGCTTTTTTGCCCGGCTGGGCGTGGCTCAGTGGTTGAATGTCGACCTGGGATCGAGGTGATCGGGGTTTGATTCCCGGTCAGGGCGCATGCCTGGGTTGCGGGCTCGATCCCCAGTTAGGGGCGTGCAGGAAGCAGCTGATCAATGACTCTCTCATCATTGATGTTTCTATCTCTCTTTCTCCCTCTCCTTTCCTCTCTCTGAAATCAATAAAGATATATTTTTTTAAAAAGAATAGCTTTGCCAGTTGCATTGCTTTGTCTCATTTGGCTGGCTGGTCGCCATAGAGCTGCTTCCAGAGTTGGAATATTAAGATGGTGAGCTGTCAGTAGAGCCTCCCTCACCTGTAGCTCCTGTCCAATTGTAGAATTTGGAACATCACCTTGGGAAGATGAGGCTCTCTGGGTTGAGTGAGTACCTGTTTAGTGACTTATGAGGTAGAGGGACAGAGTCTGGGGCACCCACTTGATCACCAGCTCCTTTGATGCGGGTCAGAGCCCACACCAGAAAGGGAGTGTATGTGGCAAGTTGAGTTGGAATTGAACTGGCTGAACCTGCCTGGGTGAAAGGAAGCTGAGGTTAGAATTATAAAGGGATTTTTATGTATATATTAGTGATAAAGACCTATGGATTCTTATATTTTTTCTGTACTAAACATTATTTGATGTATATCCATTATTCTCTTTATTTTCTTACCATGTTAATCGTATACATGGAACAAATCTGTATTATATAAACATATAGAAATTTGTCACAGACATATATGTGTGTCTAAATACATAAGTGGTTACTCTGTCCCACCAATGTTGTATGATATGGTGTCCAACAGAATGTGTGCATGTCCCCTAACACGTACCACCAACCCGATGCGCACACAGGTGCCACCGTGAAAACTGGCCCACTCCAAGGCTGCGCATGCTCATTGGGAAACCTGAAGATTTAACCTGACCAAGTATTGGAATACAGTTTGTTCCAAACCAGAAACAAAGTAGCGGATTAAAATATGCATTCAGTGATTTCAGAATTTCTTAAAATTACTAGTCTCTTTTGGAGATGAACAGAAATGCCTTGTTCGATAACTTTAACATGTTGTGTTAACAAGCAATACTTTAATTTTAAAATTAACTGTTTTAAACTTTTAAAATTGTTTGGAAGTTTTAAGAAAACATTGGTTTTTGCTTTTAACCTCAGAAGCTCCTCTGAATAGGGCATATCTTATTTGCCACTTGGCAGATGGGCCTCCACATTTTAGGGCAGGTTTTTTCTTCCTGTGGCTGTAGCCTCAGCACCTTCTTCCTCTTATGCTCTGGGCTGTGTTCGTGTTGTGTTCATTAACTATAACACCTACTGAGGGCTGCTGTGTGCTTGGCATTGTGTGAGGGACTGAGCATACAGGGCCAGTGAACAGGTCTTTTAAATGATGCTGAGGCTTTCGTTCAGTCTCCAGGATTCAGACAAGGCGATGTGAGGCCGCCACTGTACCCCACCGGTTACAGTTAGGGACTTCTCAGGGAGCAGCTGCACCAGGAGAGGTGTCTGCAGCTCTGGGACGGCTCCATCTCTGTTTCATTGTCATTGTTACACTCACGCTGGGATGGACAGTTGTTGTTTCTCTTTCATTTTTAAATATGTTTTTATTGATTTCAGAGAGAGGAAGGGAGAGGGAAAGAGATAGAAACATCAACGATGAATCATTGTCTGCCTCCTGCACCCCCCCCACTGGGGATCGAGCCTGAAACCTGGGCATGTGCTCTGACCATGAATCAAACCATATCCTCTGGCCTCAGAGGTCCGTGCTCACCCGCTGAGCCACACCAGCCGGGCTGGACAGCTCTTTCTTTAGCTCTCACTGTCATGCACCAGGATGAACAGAAGAAGTATTACATCTGGGTAGGGAGAGAGATTCTTTAAAGAAGTGTCTCAAAGGAAAGTATCTGAATTAGTGATTTCAGACTAAGTCATTAGTGAACTTGAGGGTGGCCTGTGGACCCCTCTGCTGCAGAAATGTTCATATGATAATGGTGACAGTTCACATACATTTATATTTTACTTACAGTTTTACCCTCTTGGCAAAACAGTACCATTAACCTGAGTCAATGCTTGTGAGTTGTGTGTAAGTTTTTGGTTTATCTGTTTTTATACAATTAAATAGAAGCTTATGGGAAAGGTGAACCATGAATCAAAAAGACTAAGAAATCTTGGTTTAAGGGAACTTACTGGCCCTAAAATTGTCTTTCTTGAAAGATATTTGTTAAGCACCTGCTATGGGGTGACTGGGTGTTGGGAATATAGAAATAAATGACTCAGGAAGATTCGATCCTGGTGTATGTTGGCAGTTGAGGTTACCTGTGCATCCCATTTACCACTTAGCTCCACCTGGGCATAACCTGGGGCAAATTTCAGCTGTGAAATGGGATTACAATCCTTAGCTCACAGAGCATCTGTGAGGGTTGGAGGAGACAATGCAACTAAAGCATTAAGCACAGTGTCGGGCCCATAGCAGGGGCCCAGTTTCTAGCTGTTGTCATTATTTTCTGGAAGGTTGCCCTATATGTTAATTGGTGGCTGCTCTCTGACCATCCAGTTCCATTCAAGTGGCAAATCCAGAGTGTAACCACATGCTACTGTGTGTTGGTGTGAAAATCAAGTTGTGTGTTTCTGTTTGTTTTCCTTTTTAGCAGGAGTGGTTGAAGATCCCTGTGTGGGGGCAGACTGTCCCAACCGAACCTGTGAGCTGGACAATGGAGGAGAGCTGTGTGGTTGCATCGAGCCGCCCCCCTATGGAAACAGTGAGTGACACCTGCCACCCCACCCCTGCCACCCAAGCAGGCCCAATGGGAGAGGCCTGGCAGCCACTTAGGAAAGCTCCAGGACTGCAGCCCATATGTCTCACACTGTAGGTTAGAAACCAAAATAGCAAAGCTTTGCCCACTATTTAATCAGAACAAGGAAGCCACCTGGCCACTTCAGAGTGGGCTAGCGTTCACTTCCTCAGAGCACTGTGCAGTACATCATAACAAAAATGTGTGCGTAGTGGCATCAGCCACTCCATCGGGCCTCGTTCAACATTAGAGAGCTCCAAAATGCTCTTCAGGACTTACAGGGAAGTAAGGAGGTTTGACGAAAACCTGAAAGGATCAGGGCAAGAGTGCCAGGGGCTGTAACACGCTTTACAGCAGCTTTACCTGGCCCCAGGTTTAGGTGGGTCCCAAAGAAACAACTGAAATGTGTGAAGCAAACTAACCATGTGGACTCCAAGTCCTGCCCTGACTACAGTCCTGCAGTCAGAGCACACCCTGGATGTCTCGGGAAGGCAGCTGCCTTGCCTCCCAGCTCCCCACCCCCGCCTGAACCAAGGAACTAGAAGGCACCTGCTAAATTAACGTGAGACTGCGAAAGCCAAATGGACTCAGGCTCCATAGAGGGGACAGCATGTGCTGTTCAGTGCTTCATCTGAGCAGATAAGATGTTTCTCTGTTCTCTACATGTGCTTATGTACTCACAGAGAATGTCAGTTGGTGCATCACTGGGTCAAAGACAAGCTCCTAGTGCTCACCAGGGATTAAGCTGGGGCCTCGGGTGGCCTGGCCAGTGCTGCTCTCACTTGGGCCAGTTTCCTTAGCCAAGCTCCAGAGAGCCAGATGCAGTGCAAAGCTTATGGAAAAGCAGCTACCACCAAAGTGGGGGTAAGCTCTGGGTGTACAAAGAAAAGACATTTCATTAGTATTTTCTTCTTTTAAAAAAGGCTCTACAGTGTACTGGTTATTGCTTTGAATGCATTCATGTACTCATTTGATTTGAGCAAAGCTGAGTTGGAAATGCCACAGCCATTGTGCAGATTATCAGCCTTTTCCAAAGGAAACTGCAATGGATGCCTCACCCCGACCTCTGCAGCAAGGCCAACCCCCACTCACTTGACTTTCGTAATAACTGTTCCCACAGACTCACATGACATCATTGACGCAGAGGTGACCTGCAAGGCGTCCCAGATGGAAGTGTCCATATCTAAGTGCAAACTCTTCCAGCTTGGCTTTGAGAGAGAGGGTGTGAGGATCAATGACAGACAGTGCACTGGCATCGAAGGGGAGGACTTTATCTCCTTTCAGATCAACAACACCAAAGGGAATTGTGGAAACATTGTACAGGTGAGACACTGGGACCAGAAGGAGCACCTGGCAGAGGTTCTAACTGTCCAGGTGTTTGCACATTGATTGTCCTTAAAACCAACTTCAGGGTGGTCCTATTAGAAATATCCTCCTTGGAAAACAGCAGAAGACATGTAGGAAATGAAAGACATAGGGACAGTGAGTATTTAGTGCTCAGGGACTGACGGCTGGAAGAGCACAAGAGGTGACAGGCTTCTTTCCCTGGTTTGCTCTGTCTGCTGTCATCCTTTGTCCTGGGTGTTGACAAAATGTTGTCCCCTCTCTTACCCTGCGGTGGTTGTTATAGGTAAACACAGTGGGTTTAGCATTTCAGGGATGAGCATGTCCCAGACACCGTTTAAGAGAAATGCAGCAGGGCCTCACCTTTTGGTGTCAGATTATCCAATTCACAGCCTAGCAAAGCCTCTCCTCTTCCTCCTGCTGTTGGTGTCTATGTTTGTTGTTGTTGTTGTTGTTGTTTTGGCTTTTTGATAACTTTTTATCAACACTTTGATCAGGGAGAAAAGGAGTACAGTGAAGCCACGTTTGTTCAGTTTGGTACTGGGAGCATGCCTGGTGAAGACTTGGCAGAGGAGAGATTTCCAATTAAGAGTTGAAAAAGACGACTTATATTACCTCCTGGTGGCAGCATTTCATGCTGCCCCTGCTCGGACTCCCAGAGAGACTGGGGGCTGTTTGTAGTTAGAATTCATGACATCACCCTCTGTGGGCATCCGAGGTTGTCAGACTGAAGGATGCTGTTGACATCGATTGTAATACTTTTTTTTAGTAAGGGCTGGGGTAGCTCCATACTGATTTATACTGGCCTCTGGGGTATGTATGAAATGAAGCCGTTTCTCCACTTTCAGAGCAGGGATTTGAAATGCAAGCCACACCCTCACTCCCAGGTTTAATGCTCTCTGACCTCCCTTTGCTCTGCAGTCTAATGGCACTCATATCATGTATAAGAACACAATCTGGATAGAAAGTGCCAACAACACTGGCAACATCATCACCAGGGACAGGACAATCAATGTGGAGTTTTCATGTGCTTACGAGCTGGATATCAAGATCTCCTTAGACTCTGTTGTGAAGCCCATGCTAAGGTAAAGAGTTGACGGGCTGTGAACATTGCTTGTCTGTTTGCTGACAGTTAAGGTTAGCATAATCAAAATTGCTAGCTTTTGTCTTTGAAGCACTAGGGGAAAATAATTCATAGGTAAACATCTGCATCTTACTTTCTGCCTTAGACTAGCCCTAGTCAACAAAACTTTCTATAATGATGGAAATGTTCTACATCTGTACTCTCCAATGCAATATCTATATGTGGCTATTGGCCCTGGAAGTGTGGCTGGGGTTGCTGAGGAATTGCATTTTAACTTAATATAATTTTAATTGCCACATGTGGCTAATGGGTACCATTTTGGACAGTGCAGCCTTAGACTTGACTACTATCTGCTTTGCCTTCTCTCTGTATTTTCAGCTAGGTAATGGTAGGTAACTTAATAAATATAATTGTTTGGGGTTCCCTGCCTCATGATTTTTTCCCTCTTAGTGTCATTAACCTGACAGTTCCAACCCAAGAAGGCAGCTTCACCACCAAGATGGCGCTCTATAAGAATGCCTCCTACAAGCATCCCTATCGCCAGGGCGAAGTGGTGTTGACAACGCGAGATGTGCTGTATGTTGGGGTCTTTGTGGTTGGAGCTGATGCCACACATTTGATCCTGACACTGAACAAATGTTATGCCACACCCTCCCGCGACAGCAATGACAAACTCCGGTACTTCATCATTGAGGAAGGGTGCGTAGCCTCCACCAAGGATGGTCTCGGAGCCTTCACTATAATATTAGTCTACACCACTTTTTGGAGAAGGGAGTAGGAACTAATATTTGTTGACTACCTACAGGGCCAGCATTTTGCATCCATGAACTGTCAAATTCTCGTTACAACCTATAAGATTGATGTCAGAAGCCTTTCTTTATGGGTGAGAAGGCTTAGGCTTAGTGAGAGCAAGCAGTTTGCTCAAAGTCACAGCAATTTACAGTTAAATCCAGCAATTTACTGCTAGATCCCCAAGTCCATACGGCATTAACTACAAATATATTCTCAATGTGATCAAAGAGAGGATTCTATCCTGCCTACTTTAAATTTCAACTTGAGAGAAATGTAGATCACCTGCAAATGAAAGAGTGTAATGAGAATAACTAAAGATGACTAGGACATCTATTAAAATTATAAAATAATTACAATGATAGGCGATCAAATCAAAGAGTTTCTTTTTACTCTCCACTGTATACCCAGCACCTAGTATATTTGCTGAAATATAGTGGTTATGAAACAAAATTTATTGAATGAATAAAGAAGAAAAGACTACAGATCAAACAACAATAATGATAATTATTTTTTTAAAAAACAGTGTCAAAGCAGTGTTTTTTAATTCTTTTAAATTAGTGTTTACTAATTTTTTTAAGTTTTATTGCAAACATAATTTATATGTAATAAAATGTACTTGCTTTAAGTGTAAAATTCAACAATTTTTAGTAAATTTACAAGAGTGGAACCATCACCATAATCTAATTTTAGAACATTTCCCTAATACAGTAATTATTATAGCAGATGACTGATTAATCAAATATTTTTCTATTAGATGTGGTAGAGACCAATTCAAAGTAGCTTATGCAAAAAACAAGGCATTTAATAATCACAAAAACAAAACCCAGGAGTGGATGTGGCCTCGGGGATGACTGGATCCAGGGGCCAGATGCTGTCACACTCTCCTCCCCTCGCTCTGTCCCTTGTCTTTGCCTGTCTCTGTGTCTCTGGTTGACCTTGTTAGACCCTGGCAGTCCTGGACTCCCATCCCTACAGCATTGATCCACCCCATTTCAGGGGCTCCCGGGAAGGAACCAGGTGAGCTTTCTTGGATCACCGCTTCTTGTCTGGAGGGGATGAGGCAACATGAAATCTGGTGTTGAGGAGGATCGAGTTCTCCTTCACCCTCTTAGGCTCCTGGACTGGGTCTAAAAATTAAACAGACAAAGGTTAACAGAAGAAAAGTTTCATAATCTATTTAATAAAAGTTTTATGTGACACAGGAGCCTTCATTAAGGGAAATTAAGACCCAAAGAAATGGTTAGACCTGGGTGTTTTATGGACAGTCATGGAGCAATATGACAGTCCAGAGTATAAAGTGGTTGTAGTGACCTGTTTGTTCATGTTCTTCTCTGAGTCCTTTTGTCTTTGGGGTAAGGATGCTCCTTCCCTCGGGCCGGGGGACAGGGGATACCTCTCACATGAAGGTTTTATGACCTGTTTCAGGTGAAAAGGGTCAGGGAGAAAGTCAGGATGACTTTCCTGCTTCTGCCATTTTCTCAGACTCTTCACCTTAAAGTGTTTCTTGTGCTAGGTGTGGGGAGGGTGTCCTGGGTCAGCACCATGGGGTGGTCGGGGGGTGCTGTGCATGCCATATCGAATTAGCTTTAAGGTTGGGAATGGTTCCTCAAAAGAAGGGTGTGGTCTGGGCAGACAAACACTAAAAAGCCACTGTTTTGCAGATGAAACAGGCTCAGAGAGGTTAGGTATACAGGTAACCCAAGGCTGCCCAACCAGCAAGGGGAGGAGGAAGGGTCCTTCAGGTATCAGGACACACTGCCAGGCACGGCTTGTGGCTTGGGTTGCTGAGGCATATTGTGAGATTTTCAGCAGAAGTCTCACTCAGGCATTTCACTTTCTGAATTGGTTTCTAGCTTCTTCAGAGGCCAAGGGAAGGACTTGGTGACCATGCACCCTGCAGGCAGAGGCACTCAGGCTAACATCTCTGTTCTTTCTCCATTTCTCTTCCCTCCCGTGTCATAGTCCTTTCCCAGCATGAAAGGGCTAAAATCTGGGCCATCATCAAATGCAAACCCAGGTGATATGGCTTCTGCCTCCTTTAAAGGTCCCTCTGACATTAAGCATTTTTAAAACAGGAGTTAATAGAATTGACCCCAAGAGGGGGCGTGAGCAAGTGAGCATGTTCATAAATCTCAGCTTCTTCCAGGGTCTGGATAAAGGCCTTCAAATTAAACTGTTATTGGACGTAAAGGGATTTTGTCATGTGGGACAATTTTAATTCATGAGTCCTTCTGACCTTGGATATTGTTTTTTCCCAGTGAACTTGCATGAAAAGCAATGCTCAGTGCTGAATGAATGAGCAACAAAGTGGGTTCACTGAAGAATTTTGAGGGGTCATTGTTCCTCCCAGCTGTGTGGGGGGAAGACGGCACCAGCCTCTGTTAGTGACTCAGAAAGAAGCTTGGGGACATGCAAGGCACTTCTCTCTCCTCTTCTCGTGCCTAGACAGAGGAAAGGACGGTTTTCCTCTGAGAGTGGACAGAGTTCCCATGCATGGCTCATTGCTCACACTAAGGCAGCACACAGACAGCCTGTCTCCCCTTCCCTGGGCCCCTTCCTTCTGCTCCATGTTTTTCTGATACCTAAACTTCAAGTAATCTGTGATAGTTGGGGGTCTGATTAAGAGGGAAGGGCCTGAAGATCAAGGGCTATGAATATTTTAGAATCTTTAGCCAATTCAGATTATTCAAATGAGTAAGAGTGACAAGAAATAGTCTAACAAGTTTTTGTGTCAAAGCATTGAAGAAACTATTGCCTTGAAGACTAATTACAAAATGTAATGGGTGTGGGAATGCTGAAGGATTGTTTCAATTTATAATTCTGTTAACTAAATTATTTAATTCTGTGGGCTAGGGAAAGGAAACATGAGGAAACGAGTCACCCTTTTATCTTTATCATTTTAAAGAACTTCTTAAACCCTAAGAGCCACCCTTGGCCACACAGCAGGTTCATCCTTCTGGAATTCACATGTGCAACAAAGGTCCAGCGTGCACGCAGTGCACTGCAGACGCAGCGAGGGCTGTGGTGTGACCCGTGCACTCTAGGGGCTCAGCGGGGCGCTCTTGGCAAGCCAGGAGAAGCCACTTTTTTCTGCCTGGTCAGGGCAGGGCTGGGGAATGTTTATCAAGGAGGGGGCCCTAGACCGGTGTTGGAGAAGGAGTGTGAGTGGTGCATGTGAGGAACCGCAGAAGGACTTGCAGGCGGGGACACGTGAAAAACCCTGAACACTTGGGGGACTCTAAGCGGTGGAGGCAAGATGTCTGTGCCTGAGGGAGGGCTGCCGCGGTCACCCCGCCGGGAGCCGGGAGGTGAGAGGAGGCTGGCCCTGCTTCAGAACAGTTCAGCTCGTCCCGGACTGACTTTCTTTTCCTCAGCTCCACCTGTTTCACACTGTGGGAGGATTCCCGGCAGCGTTAGAATCAGGAGCTCTTTCCCAAACTGATAGTTAACTGGAGAACATAAGGAAGAAGCAATATTGCGCGTGTTAAATGGAGATCGGTAGCACACCATTGTGAGGGAGCAGCATGGGAACTGGAAGCAGAAGGAAACAGCTCCTCCCACCATCATTTTGTTCTTAGTTGCAGTTAGGGTACTAATTTGAGGTGCTATTTGATGCTTTTAAAACAAACTATGTAAATATAAGGGAGTGGTAATAAATGATAAACCCACACAATCCAGAGGTCACTTTCAAGTGCAAATGCATTTTTACTGTTTATGCTGGTTTTATATGAAGATGAAACAAGAAGCAGAAGTATAACTTTTCTGAATAGGTGTCAGAACATTAAAGACAACACCATTGGCATCGAGGAGAACGGCGTCTCCCTGACCTGCCGCTTCCACGTCACCGTCTTCAAGTTCATCGGGGACTACGACGAGGTCCACCTTCACTGCGCAGTGTCACTCTGTGATTCAGAAAAGTACTCCTGTAAAATAGTAAGTAGACTTGGGAAGCACGTGCACAGCCTTATTTCTCACTGCCCAGCGTCAGTGTGACTCCCTCGGGTTGTTTAGGTCTCACAGCACCTGGAGGGGGCTGAATTGGGATTGTCCTCAGATGCTTGGGAGCGGCAGACACCTCTGGGGAGAGAACACAGTGGAATGATGTCCACTGACTGCTCTACCTCTGAAATGTCCATCTGTCATTGACACTAGATTAGGGCTTCTCAAACCTTGCCACTACTGACATTTTGGGTCAAATCATTCTTTGAGTGGGGACTGTTCTGTGCATTGTAAGACATTTAGCAGCTTCACTGGCCTCTACCCACTAGGTGCTAGTAGCAACCCCACCCAGCAGCAACTCCCAAAAATGTCTCCTGACATTGCCAGTTGACCCCTGGGAGCAAAAGCAGCCCATCTGAGACCTACTGTACTGGAGTATTAAGGAGCCAGGTCACCTGAATCTGAAGTGAACAGTGGGGCCAAGCTCCCTTCCACTGTAGAAGCAAACTCCTGGGCTCAGGATGCACTTTATCTAGGTGTTCTTAGATAGGGATTGTCCTACAGGCCACCCAGAGTCATACTAGGGCCTGAGGCTCTGAAAGGACTGGTAGGAGGAGTGACAAACCCATCCCCTCTCCCACACCAGATGTATTCCCCACTACATATGGCTAATGTCACTAAGAGTTTATTGCACTGGCTCCTAACCTTTAACATTCCAGCTTTCTGCTTACCCCATATTTGCAAAATTGAGATGTGAGCTATAGCCAGAACTTCTTCAACACGCTGCTGCATACATTAGTGTCTGATGAGACACAGCAATCCTCATTCCCAGGAAGGAGCCTCGTGTGGAGAATGCACCCGATCCTCTTCAACATAAAGTACAGAGTCCCAGTGGGCCCGAGATGGAGAAGGCACTGGGCTAATTAATGAGGACAGGGGTAGTACTCAAGGCTGGAGCCACTGTCTCTTTGGAGGTGGAAACATGGTGAAGAAAAGTTATCTTAATTGTGTGAAATTTTCCCCTGGTGTTCTGTCTTTCAGAATTGCCCACAAAATTCCAGGATTGCCACAGATTATACCAAAGAACCTAAAGAACAGATCATTTCAGTGGGACCTATTAGGAGAAAAAGTATGTATGTTTCCTAAACCACGCTAAAATTATTAAAACTATGGGATTGGAAGGCTTGAGGGAACTCTTGCCTGCGTTTCACCTGTAATGTGAATCTGGTGAATAATACTAGTTTGAGAAGACTGCCGAATTCCATAATGAAATATTTTTCATTTTTTTCTTTTTTTAATTTATCTTTATTGTTGAGAGTATTACAGGTGTCCCATTTTTCCCCCCAATTGACCCCCTCCACTTCACTCCTACCCCCTCCCCAGGACTTCACCCCATTATTGACTGTGTCCATGGATTATGCATATATGCATATAACTTCTTTGGTTAATCTCTTCCCACCCTCCACCCCC